TCATAAAAAACAGATGGATGTAGAAAAGAGTGGAGAGAGTTTTAAACTTTTAATGTGATGTAGGCATAAAATATATATGTTAATAGCAACTTTTTTATGAATCTGGATATATATATATATACACACACACGTGAAGATAGGCCTAGAGATATATATATTAATAGAATTTTTTTATGGGCCTATATAAACATTTTTTTTTTTTTTAAAAATGTGAGGGTAGGGCCTACCCTCCAAGGGGCTGGGTCCACCCCTGCTTCCACTATGCCATTAAACCACATACAAAGCAAGTGCAAACTCATCTCTTCGTTCACTGAAGTGCAACACCAATTTTCACCAATTTGTGGTACCAAACAGACACTTTTTCTCGTTTGAAGGAAACGAGAGAAGGGTCATTGCTATGGCTTCCACCATGCCATTAGAACAACCGGTGAATCAGGGCCAGCAAGGTTTGAGTGGTGACTCATTTATTCGACAAAATTTGAGGAAATTGTCACCTTTTCAGCCAATTTTGCCTTTTGAGGTAATTGAGAACAATCCTTTCAAACTCCTTTAAATGGTCTTGTTTGTTTTTGGTCTTTTGTGCCGATTCAAATAGATTTGGTTTCCTGCCGCTAATCCATAGGAAGTTGTTAATGACATGCGTTATATTATTTCACTCTTACTCCATCAAAGTGCCAGATCTATTTTGGAAGGACAGGGGTTTAAGATTTGATATTAGAAAGCGCTGAGATTAAGAAATTAATGTATTAAAATTTCTTTTTGGGATATTTAAGGGCTTTTTTAGAATTCCATGTGTTAAATTTTATTATTTTGAGATTTTTTGTGTGGATAACTTGTTCACGCTCTAGATTCACTCCTATGTAGTAGATCATTCTTTTCATGTATAATATAATACTCTGCTAAATGGTAATAATAGTAATAATGTGGTTGATGTGGATTTTGAAATAAGAAAGGAAACGAAGAAATAGGAGAAGAAAATGAAGAATCAATCAGAAAACAGTTTAGAATCTCGCAAATTATTGTGGGAATTCAACAGACAATAAACTCAATAAATTATTGCGGAATTGCAAGAGAAACGTTCGATGGACAAAAACTTGAATTTGCTACTGGCTTTAAACTCTGGTTGCTCTAATGAAGAAGGCCTCCCAGAAGCTGAATTGTCTGAAGCTGGAAACCACAGCCCAAGGGAAGGCCTTGAACAGAAGGAAATACCAAGCTTTTGTTCTTCTGTTCTTGAAGAGTCTGTGAACTCGTCTTTGCCCGTTGGGGAAGTACTCCCGGAGATTACGGATAACAAAAATAGCCAGACTCCACAATCTCTGTTTTATACAAAAGGAGTTGAAGACCAAGAAAACTCTGAAGTTTCTCCACTGAGATCAGATGGAAAGCTTAGCTCACATAGCATTTGGTCAAGAAGAGGTAAACCAGCGAGTGTTCTACAGATTCAAACTGGTAGAAGCAGAGGAAAGACAGCAAGAAGTCACAGTAAGGCTGATGTAGATCTGCAGATACAGGAGGATATTGAAAACAAATCAATTTCAAAGATACTTTTCTCTGGTTTTGAAGAGAAGGAAGAAGAAATCTTTACTCCAAACAAGGAGAATTTCTCCTCAGATACTCTTCTACTAAAGTCCTTGAAAAGGAAGGGTAAGCTGGAAGAAATTAAGCCTTCCAGGTCATACAGAAAATCCTCCTCAAAGGTTACTATTAGCCCCAATATCCAGCCACAAGAAGACTTGCACTTTTCTTCAGACAAAGAGAACCAGACACCAAAAGTTCTCCAAGAGCAGAAATCTAGTGAACTTTGAACAGGAGAGGACGATAATGAAGAAAAGAGCAGAAAGGGTGCCATTTCAATCCCTTGTGGCAAATTCTTCAGTTCGGAGGGGATCAGAAGCCTCACTTTCTAATGCCACAACAAGAAGCAGTCATTCTGTCAATTTGTCTAAAACCATGAAGGTCACTAATATGCTCGCCTAGAGGACTTATATGGCCGGTCTTAGATGCTGTAGTTTTGAGAGAGAGGAAGAAGACCTCAAAGGGAGGAGACGGTGTAAAAATTTTTAAGCTCATTCTGCTGCATAACTCTCATTATGCACAGATGAGAAGTTCAGTCCGATAGAAGAAGAACAGTTTTAGCTTGTACTTAAAAGGATCATTCTTAGTAGGTTTGTTCCTCTGGACCTGGTGTAAAAGGTTAGTCAATGGACCTCGGGGATAACAATAAGCAAATAGTATACTACTTTTTCCCGCTCAAATAATTGCTTAATGATATTTTTCTACCCATAAACTTTTAAAATACTACTTTATCTCCTAAATTTATATTCCCTTTTTTATTTCAACATCGTTGCAATCTCAAACCACCACCATTCACTTCTCCGATCATCACTCACCAAAATCCCTTAAACCCTACTCCCGTCAACTCCACCAATTGTCAGCAATCAAGTGATTAGGGTTTGCACAACCACCCCTCCCAAGTCAAATTCTGATAAATCCCAATCACCAAAGTCCAACTTTTTATTACCAAAAGACTCATTGACCTCCCCTCTTCAAAAGCCCAGATAGTATGGACCGAGTTTGTTCTCTGTTCGTCATCGAAATATAAATTTAGATAGTAAAATAGTATTTTAAAAGTTTGTGGGTAGGAAAGTGTCATTAAGCTATTATTTGGATGGGAAAAAGTAGTTAACTCATGAGCAAAACCTTTTTATTCACATGCATAAATTAAAAAAATTGTATCCCGACGTGTAAAAATTAGATCTTCCTAAACATTAGTTTTCTCCAACCTACAAAACTGGGAAATAAATATCGATTAACTTTATACCAACAGTGGCGATAATATAAAGGTTGCAAGGGTTATATAGAATTATTGGGTGTAAGGCGTCTATAGGTAGCTTTTTAAGTCCACAGTCAAATCCTAAGACCCTATCCTGGACAAACGGTAGAAATTAGTGTATGGTAGAGGCAAAGGGAATTTCTAGTGTAGCTGTGAAATTCGGAAAGAATACCAACTGCGAACACTAATGAAAATTTTAAACCAAAGATCCTGATATTGTAGAATAAACTAAAGAGATCCATAAATTTTTTAATAATTAAGTATAAGAAATTATATTATGGCAGCCGTAATAATGAAATATGAAAAACACATAAATTTGAATAATGAAGAGGGCAATTTTGCGTTGTTGCTTTGTTTAGCTTTTGTGTTTAGTTGCTTAGTTTAGTAATTAGTTAGCAGTCTTAATAATTACTTAATTTTTTTATGCTTAATCTAGGGCTTATCCTATGATAGGGTGGCCGTTTTTTATATGACCTTTTGTAAATTATTTCTCTTTTCTAATAATTATTTATTTACCAAAAAAAATAAAAAAAAGAGAGATAGCAATTTTAATGTTGAATTAGCTGGTAAATCTGAATAATAAAAACACTTTTCTAATTGGCATGACAAGGGTTTCTTACCCTTAGATTGACAAAGGTCATTTTGTTCTGTCTTTGCACTATAAAATAGCAAAAAGCAACTCAAAATCTGGAACCAGCATTTTGCTTCATCTCTTTCTTCAAAGAAATTACTTCAAAATTATTTGTCATGGTTATGAAGGGACGTGGTGTGTATTGAAGATGGTTTTTCTTCAAAGAAATTACATGACCAAATCCAGCTAATCGTGTACCGTTTTAGCAACTGTCAGTCAAATCTGACCGATCTATATCATTTCGACAACTGTCAATCAACATTCGTCCTGGATGGTTAGGGGTGTTTTGGCTAATTTTTAAACTTTTATTATGACAAAGGTACTTTAGCAAAATCTCAAATGTAGTGGGTTATAAAATAATCAAAATAATTATAATATATAAAGAAGAAGGACAATTCAGTAATCTATATAACATACCCATCAATTTATTCTCTCAACCAAATATATCCATATAACATACTCAACAATTTATTTTAATTTAACCAAACATATTTAATATAACATTCTTATTAATCTTCAAAGTAATCTATCTTTCTTTTAATATAACAATCTCAGTAATATAATATTCTCAAACCAAACGCCCCCAAGTAGTTATGCATAAAATAAGAGTCAACTCCTTTCCAGTCCCTATGGTTTCAGTTGCTAATTTAAGGACAACAGTTTCAAATGCATTTTTATATCAATGTTTAATAAATTTAAAAGAGCGTAATTTTGTCATTTTAATAAATTTAATAGTGAATTAATCTTTTACAGAGTCAAAGGACTAATAGTAGTATTTTGAAACGATAAGAACCAAACTTCAGTTTTTGCAACAATTGTCCTTAAATGCAGACTGAAACCACAGGGACTAAAAAGAATTAATTCCATGAAATAAGGGTAAATCAGTAGTTATGTATTGTATATGCTACCAAAGACAAAAGACAAAAGCAAAAAATAAGTCAACTAAAATGCGTCTTATTCAATCATACATAATGTGAAAAAAAAAAAAAAATACTATATATATGAAGATTCTTTATAAGAGTTTTTGTATAAAATGATGTGACAGCTATCATATTATTAGTTTTATATCAATCTTTTTTTTCTTTTCACAAATTAACGATGGAACAGCTGCCACGTCACTTTTTTTTTTGTACCTCTACCATTTCCAAAAAAAAAAATAACCCATCAATATGCCCCTTCACAAAGGCACCACTTCCCTCTCCAATTCCTCTGTACAAAGTACAACCTCATCCTCTCGTCATAAAAACTAACCTAAACACCCCCTATACAACGATTGGTCATTGATGTCTGACAAAGTCGGGTTTTTAGATTTGGGTTGTTTGCATTTTGGTTTCTCTTCATATTCATTTTCTTAAACTGACATGTTTTCTCCATTTTACCCTTCAACATTAAACTTCACTAACATTAAGTGAGATAACTGTCACTTTTTGCAAATAATGGAGTTCCATAATATTTCGTTAAACCTTGTGCATGTGAAGAAAGTATCCAATACTCATTTGAGCTAGCTCAGCTTGTTGCCGTGCGCAAGTCCACCAGAAGGTGCCGCCGCCTCTCACTTTGTTCACTGCGCCTGCTGTCCTGCCGCTACTCGTCGCCCACCATTTCCGGCGTTGTCAGTAGGCCGTGCGTATACTCTATTTTTTTTTCACTAAAAGTTTCATTATTTTTTTTTTTTTATGGGAAATAATTAGTTAATATATGGACAAATAAATTTATGCCTGTTTGTGTATTTACATGTTTTATTAATATATTTTGAGTATTTTAGTGTAAAATGGATTTTTATTTTTTCTGTTAATCAGTTTAGTTTCTTAGATATGTTTGATGTTAGTTCACTGACAATTGGAAATGAATATTTTCAAAAATAAAATATTGAGTACTTTCTGTCAAAATGAAATCTTGTTATATTATTAGTCTTGCATTTGATGTTACAACTCTAGTTATTTTCTTTTTTAATTTTTAATTTTGGATATTGGTCCAGTGTTTTGGGTGATGCCTGGGAAAGCAAGTCAAAAAAAAAAAAAAAAAATTATAAATTCAAGCCAAGCCCTTCCCAAATATGGGCGGCATATTTCAGTAGCTCTCTTACAACCTTAAGAGATGTTTGGTTCTTGCTAGGTTTACACGACTTCCTTTCTTAGTTCTGGCTGTCTCCAATTTCGTAACTTCATTCTCTTAATTAAGGTATGCTCACCGAACCTATTTTCTCCCTGTCTGGAAATTGGGTTAATTGCACTTTCTTTGTATGTGGAAACTTAATGCTATTCTCGTAAACATGTTTGGAGGCTGAAATGAATTGCATACAATGCAGATATTCATGGGTGTGATTGACACCTCATCTCTTTGTTCACTGAAGTGCAACACCAATTTTCACCAATTTGTGGTACCAGACAGACTCTTTTTCTCGTTTGAAGGAAACAAGAGAAGGGTCATTGCTATGGCTTCCAGTATGCCATTAGACCAACAGGTGAATCAGGGTCAGCAGGGTTTGACTGGTGACTCATTTATTCGACAACATTTGAGGAAATTGTCACCTTATCAGCCAATTTTGCCCTTTGAGGTAATTGAGAACAATACTTTCAAACTCTTTTGGAAGGTCTTGTTTGTTTTTGGTCTTTTGTGCTGATTCAAATATATTTGGTTTCCTGCTGCTAATCCATACAAAGTAGGAAAATGCTCTATTACTACCTGCTTGAGTATACCGAATTTTGTTTTGGTGAATTCACTTCCTTTGAAATAGTGGATTCCCTGTTTTCTTAAAAGAAAAACATATATATATTTTTTTATAGGTTTTGTCGATCAAACTTGGAAGAAAACCTGAGGATATTATCAAAATAGATGCAAATGAAAACCCCTATGGTCCACCTCCAGAGGCAAGTAATATGCAACATCATACTCCCTTTCTTATGTTCTAGTCTATAATGATTACTGGTATCATTTTTACATCTGAATACTCCTTAGTCTCCTGAGTAAAAGTTTCAGATTGTTTGTAGGTTAGTCAAGCATTGGGACAATTGAAATTCCCGTATATCTATCCTGATCCTGAAAGTCGCCGACTGCGTGATGCCTTATCTAAAGATTCAGGGCTTGAATCAAATCATATTCTTGTTGGCTGTGGGGCAGATGAACTCATTGATTTAATTATGCGGTCAGTTAATAAAATTTGTGACTATTTATTTAATGCTTATGAAACTATGCATTAATATCTATGTAACTTAAAGAACTGTGAAGTTTATAATAGTTTATTGTTCCTTTTGTTTATCTATATCTACAGATGTGTACTAGATCCTGGTGACAAGATTGTGGACTGCCCTCCGACCTTTACAATGTATGAATTTGATGCTGCTGTTAATGGTGCACATGTCATCAAAGGTAAAGTTTAAGCTTTCTGGTACCTTTTAATTTCTGCAACATAGCTTTTAAAGTTGTTAATTACATTTTATGATTCATTGTCATGGGTTATTTTATTTAACTCTTACTCCATCAAAGTGTAAGACCGACCTATTTTGGAAGGAACAAGGGGTGATCAAGATTTGATATTAGAAAGGGCTGAGATTAAAAATAGTGTATTAAAATGTCTGGGTTTGTTTTTGGGATATTTAAGGGCTTTTTTTTTTTTTTTTTTTTTTAGTTAATTTTAGAATTCTGTGTGTTAAATTATTATTTGAGTTTTTTGTGTGTGACAACTTGTTCACGCTCTGGATTCACTCCTATGTAGATCATTCTTTTCATGTATAACATAATACTCTGTTAAATGGTGACAATAGTAATAATTTGGTTGATGTGGATTTTGAAGTAAGAAAGTAAAAGAAGAAATAGGAGAAGAAAATGAAAAAGCAATAAGAAAACAGTTAGAAACTCAGAAATTATTGTGAGAATTCAACACAGAAAATGCAGTTCTCATAATTAAGCAATTCTTCATAATCCTTAAAATACAAAGATGTATAAGTTAACTTTCTACCTCCACTTTCTTAAATCAAACTTCGATTTTAAAACCCAAAACTATTAAGGATTAGAAATCTTTATGTTAGGATTCCACATTGGAAGGGAAAAGGGTGGGCATGTGGGTTATAAAGGGTTTGGGCACTCTTCCTTAACAAGCTGGTTTTCCAAGGAGAATTCGACCCAAGCCCATGAAAGACCCATGACCTAGCCCAATTGTTTGAGTTATTGAGGTGGGTTCTTATCAATTGGTGTTAGAGCATGATTCTAAGCCTACGTGGCAGCGCACGTGTGGCAAGTTGATCCATGGCAGGCTAACCTTTGGCCTGGGCTGCTATCCCGATAAAGGGCATGGAGGCCCGAGGGAAAGGGGATCCGCGTAGTCACCCAAGGGTTAAAGAGGCCAGTAGGGGTAAAGAAGCCGACATAGACGTCGGTTGCGGAAGCGTGGCGGAATATTAGAATCCCACATTGGAAGGGAAAAGGGTGGGCATGTGGGTTATAAAGGGCTTGGGCACCCTCCCTTGGCAAGCCGGTTTTCCAATGAGAGTTCTATCCAAGCCCATGAAAGACCAATGGCCTAGTCCAATTGTTTGAGTTGTTGGGGTGGGTTCCTATCACTTTATCACTGAAAATTAACCTAAAACACTTCAAGACAATATTTACTATCTAATAACTAAAAAACCATTCAACTACAAGATTCAATTGACTTTAACTACTGCCAGATCTTGCAAAACAAAATTTAAAATGAGTACCCTTTGTAGACTAGAATAGGTAAAACTTCCAAGTATGACAAACCTTTTCCAGGATCAAATAGTCCTCTTTGTTATCTGTCCCTTAAGCCATGATTCATGTGTTTATCTTTTAAGATGCAACTTTATTTGGTGTAACCTTTTGCAGTTCCGAGGAAGTCAGATTTCAGCTTGAATGTGGAACTCATTGCTGATGCTGTTGAGCGGGAGAGACCAAAATGCATATTTCTAACTTCTCCAAACAATCCAGATGGAAGGTTATTCTCAATTTTCTCTGCTCACTGGCTGTGTTTGTCTGTTTCTGTGGTGAAAACTGTAGTTCTTTTGGAAGAGATACAAGGGATTTGGCTAATCTGTACCATGATCATTTTATGAACACTTGACTGTGCACTGAAAATTCCTGTTTTAACGCCAAAATTTGATATTTTTTGAGTTTCAACATGCTATTTTTGATATATGTGTAGAAGTAATAAGCACCTGTTTATGATCTTAAATCATTTTATTCTCATTGGTTTTTATGTGTTGGAGCTCAATTCTCATGCTCAAGTTTGATATATCAAATGATTTCACATTATTGAAAACTTCTTTTTTTTTTTTTTTTTGTCTAGAATAAACTAACATCCAGGTAGCTCTTTAAAGAGGTTCTTAACAATGATAATGACAAAGGTCTTGACCTCTGATGCCTAACATGTATTAATCTGTTCACACATTGATTTAAAAGCATACTTGTTTAGCATCTTTAAAAACAGTTAAGATGGGTTTTATCTTTGTATTCAGGCAAAATTGTCAAAACAACCATTTTGTTTTCAAGATGCTCACCAAATTAAATCTTTTTTTTTTTTTCACATTTACATCTTCGGTGTAATACTGATGTGCTTATTCTGATAGGGGAGTTTCTGAACTGTGATTTAAATTTGGAATGTGGAAAAGTGCACGCAATTCTTTTCTGATGTCTTGTAGGTTTTCTCTTGACAATTTTTTTTTTTTTTGGTCATGTTAACTATGGTTTCTCAGTATCATCAATGAGCAAGATCTTTTCAAGATCCTTGAGATGCCCATTTTAGTGGTATTGGATGAAGCATACATCGAGTTTTCAGGTCTTGAATCCAAGATGAAGTGGGTGAAGAAGCACGATAACTTAATTGTCCTTCGTACATTTAGCAAAAGAGCTGGTATGGTCTTTCTGTCTTTGCTTATTGTTTTCAGTTTCTTATGAATCAAGCTTAATGTGCAGAGTTGTGAAGGTTGCAGATTTTTACTATTTCAAATGTATCAAATAAAACTCATTGCTTTGTTTTTCTTCTCCTTTAAATAACCATTCAAGTACAATAATGTTGTTAGGAGGAATTTTGTCATATTTTAGTGTTATGTTAAATAATGGAGCAAAGGATTTGTAGAAGGTCATTGATGAAAGAATAAAGATAGGTTGACTAACACTTCTTACAATTTTCTCTCACAAACGTTGACGTGATATCTTGTAATTGTTCAGCTTGCATTTGGTCAGGCTGGACCTATTTCAAGCTGACCAATGACGAGTTGACACGTCTCTTTTGTGAGAGAAAGTTAATAAGAAAGGTTTGTGAGTGTAGTATTACTGTTAATGAAAACATGGCTGATCCATATTTTGATTTATAAACTGCACTGTTTGTTGGTTGGCTGTGTGAGATAAACTAAATTTATTTTCCCTATATATATTGCTTATAATATAAACTTTGGGTTGAAAGACTTCTTTGTATCAATTTTGTTGTAGTTTACTAAGGGTCGGCTTAGAATTATAAAATAATTAGCTTGCTCTGATTGTCTGATGATACATACCATTAGAACACGAAAGTAACCTATAATTTGGTTAATATAAAATAAAGTTCTAACAATGTCCTTGAGATTTTAAAATTCACTCTTTGTAATTGGTAGCCTTTTTAATGGTGGGATAGCAGCTTTTGTTGCTCTATGTCGAGGATGTGATGATGAGATATANAAGAAAGGTTTGTGAGTGTAGTATTACTGTTAATGAAAACATGGCTGATCCATATTTTGATTTATAAACTGCACTGTTTGTTGGTTGGCTGTGTGAGATAAACTAAATTTATTTTCCCTATATATATTGCTTATAATATAAACTTTGGGTTGAAAGTCTTTTCTATATCAATTTTGTTGTAGTTTACTAAGGGTCGGCTTAGAATTATAAAATAATTAGCTTGCTCTGATTGTCTGATGATACATACCATTAGAACACGAAAGTAACCTATAATTTGGTTAATATAAAATAAAGTTCTAACAATGTCCTTGAGATTTTAAAATTCACTCTTTGTAATTGGTAGCCTTTTTAATGGTGGGATAGCAGCTTTTGTTGCTCTATGTCGAGGATGTGATGATGAGATATATCTGTCCAATGAATCTTTTACCGACAAATTAGTGTTATACTGGATTACTTTATTTAGCTATATGTGTAACGATTTAACTTTTTCCCACTAAATCCATATTGTAATGAAATTGGCTGCAGGTTTAGCTGGACTTCGTGTTGGATATGGAGCATTTCCTCTGAGCATAATTGAGTATCTTTGGCGAGCAAAGCAACCTTATAATGTTTCTGTTGCCGCTGAAGTTGCTGCATGTGCAGCTTTGCAGAACGCTACATATCTGGAGGTTTTATCCTTTCCGTTATGGCTTTTATTTTGTGCTTGTATTATATTCTGATCCAAATATAGAACCCCTTTTAGCATAATTCCTAATAGCAGTTAAACAATATATATCAGAATGTGAAAGAGATGTTGATACAAGAAAGGGAGAGGCTCTTTAAACTTCTGAAGGAAATACCATTTCTCAATCCATATCCAAGCTATTCAAATTTTATTCTTTGTGAGGTTACTTCCGGAAAGAATGCTAAGAAACTAAAGGTATATATTCTTTTCCTGCAAATCCTTGCTTTTACATAGTAAAATAGTTTTACTTCTGCATCCAATAGTTTGCCTGCTATAATGACATTTGTTCTTTTAATTTTTTGGTTTTGTTGTTGTCATGGCTTATGTATATTTTTCATATCTGTAAACCTTGTCTTGTTCAGTAGTTTGTATGATGTCCCTTTGATGTTTCCATGCTCCCAAATTAGGTAGTTCTAAAGTGCCTAACTTGGGTTTACCGCTGCCCTTTGTCTTATGACCCTTAGAAGTTCTTTGAACTTCTTTAAATATTAATGCCAAGAATTGTGTAGTTCCTTAACTTTCCCTATCTTGCATTTAGCTTGCATGAAGTGATCGGTATAGATTTGTTTACATATTGAATCTAATGCTCTATAATTATAGGACCATGTGATGCTGCTACATCATTGAGACATGCAAATTTTATTTGACATTGAAGCAGATTGGATTTTTTTTAATAACATGTGTGCATTGAATTCAAGGCAGGATTTTTTGTCATACTCTATAATCTTTTAGTGCTGAAATTTATGGTATATCTATGTCAAATTAAACATTACTGATTGTTTTACAAGAGCCTACTTTTATCTTAATTGCTAACTAGATAGTAAAGGAATAAAAGAAGTCAAGGAGGCTTTGTGTTTAAGATTTACTCGGAGAAGTCCTAAGACCTTGTGGTTTGGAGTTACTGGAGGGTGTGTTGGAGGCCAAAGGCTTCGGCCAAAGATGAAGTGGACTAGTGGATGCTTGAGATCCACTAAATATTTTATTTTATTTTTTCAAATTGTAAGTTTAGAGGCAAATTTGTGGCTTTAAGAAGTTTAAGACAAGGATAATCTGCTTCATCCTTTCTCTTATTCAAAGTCGATAAGTGGATAGAGCCAAGGAGTTTGATTTTATTTTAGTCTACTATGGGAAGGAAATTGGTTTGGGTAAATTTCCAGTGATACAATCTTCTTCATTTGGGGATAAGGCTGAGTTTCTTAATATTATTGAGGTTGTTGACTTGCTTTTTAAGTAGCTTAATCATTGGTACATTCAAGAAAGAAGATTGTGTAGCTCATACCCAAGTTTGCTGTGAGATAGGCGGTTGGCCTATGAAGTATATTGGAATGTCTTTGCAAAGCAACCCTGAGGTTATGGCTTTTTAGAATCTGGTTATTGAGAAAGTTCATCAGAGTTTGGGAGGTGGAGAAAAATCTGTCTTCTGAGGGAGGTAGACTCACTCTTCTATTGTCAGCAGCTTCTAAGTCTTACTTTTACCTTCTTATATTCCTAAGGATGCAGCAAAAACTAGAGAAAATTATGACAGGTTTCTGCTGGGAAGAAGAGAAAGGAAAAGAGAGCACTTGGTTGCAGAATAGTTTCCCAAGCCATTTCTAAAGGGGAAGAGGAGGAATATAGCTCTGCCATAAAAGTGGCTTTTTGAGATTTCTTTCAGAAGCAATTCTCCTTTGCATGTTGTCATTAGAAATAAATATGGACTTCAAAAGGATGTTTGGGACTCCAACGTAAGCACAGGGGTTGTGGTAGGTGCCATCCTTTGGCACTAAATTATTCAATTTGTGAAGTTGGAAATTGGAAATGGTGAAACAGTTTTGGTAGACTAAGACAAATGGATGGGGGAAGTTGCATTTTTTAGGTCTTTCCCAAAAAAAATTTAAGTTGCCTGCAAGTCAAGGGTTCTCTAATTGCCAATATGGTGGTTTCCTCTCCTTCTCATTGAGGTTGGGACTTTCAGTTCCTTCCAAATATGAATGATGTAGAATCTTGAATGGTGTTGTATGTTGTAGAATAGTTTCTTTGATAATTTAATTAACCATCATAAATTTCTAGAAATGGTCTGGTCTCAGTTTTCAGGCTTGTAAAACTGGTGATTTCTGGTTATTTAGTCAGGTTGAATTTAAGTGAATGATAATCTTTGTTTATTTATTTATTGTTGCATATCCGAGAGACGGCCATACAACATACCTCTTTAGAGGTACAAGACTATTGCATGAACCCTAGATATGTGGAATCATCTATAAACTACACATTACTCGTAAGCCCAAGTATAGGGCGATCTATATTGAATCGTATCGTATGATACGTATCGAGTACGTAGGATATAATAAACATGGTCAAAATTACTTATAAACAAGTAGTGCTAAAGGCCTAAGCCACCATAATACAAAACAAGATGAAAACAATTTTAAAGTAATAAACTCTTGTGGCCAGGTCGGTAGGCCACGAGTACCTACCAAACCCTGACATAGGGATTAGTCTCAACTTCGGGTACGTGGAGACCCAAGGCTTTCAAAAAAGAAAAAAAAAAAGTAATAAACTCTCAACAAGAAAAGAATACAGAAACAACAGATATTTTTGTAGCATTTCAAGATTTTGTTTTTAATGGAGTTAAAGAAACAAGTGTGAAGAAATTGGGGTTTAAATTGTGTTATTTTGCATTTAAGAGTGTGAATATGGTTTAAATTACTAAGATCCCATGTTTGAAAAGCGACACTTAACTCTTCCAAATGAACGAAATTTAATAATAAACTAATTAAATTCAAATGCTTTAAAAATAGACATTAACAATAATAGTTATTGCATGAAATAAGAGTTAATTCTTTTGTACTCCCTGTGGTTTCAATAATACTTTTAAGGACAACAGTTTCAAATACTAGAGTTGTGGTCTTTTTCTTTTCAAAATACCACGTCTTAGTCATTTAACTTATAAAAATGTTAATTGATTATTAAATTTATGAAAATGATACAAATGCCCCTTTAAAAAAAATGAAAAATTATTTACACAAACAACACTAAATTAAGTAAACATTTTACACACTAAAATTCAAATTAAGTAAACATATTATTACTACAAATTCATCACATTATATAATTTAATTTTCAAAAGTGTAATGCGTTGTGTGTGTGTTGTGTATAGTGTATATAGTACACTTTTTTTTTTTTTTATCAAGTTTAAATATTTTAATAAATTTAAAAGAGGGTTTTTTTGTCATTTCAATATAAATTTAATAGTGAATTAATGAGTTAACGACTTTCCTATGTAGAAAAAACTTAATGACACTTTCTCGCCCTCAGACTTTTAAAATACCTATTTACTACCCAAATATTATGTTTCTTTTGGTTTGGGTGGGAAATATAGTGATTACGGGGGAAAAAAAAAAAACCCCCTTTTTTCTTCCTTCTTAGTCTCTTTTATTGCCGGCGATTGCTGTTAGCGTTAGGGTGTGCCAGCGACCAGAAAATCAATAAACAAACCATAGATACTGCAAATAAACATTCATCAATCGTCTTTCAAACCAACAAACACAAAAACTGAATGAATCAAACTAATTAATCAATCAAAAACAAAAGACCTAGGGTGGGGAGCTCAATCGTCGGCGATTGGTGAGCAAACAGGACGAGAATAGTAGGGCTTTTAGATAGGAAGATCTAGGGAGTCAATGGTAGTGACAGGGATGATTTTCGATGATGGATCGACTGGAAAAGCACGATGGTGGTTTGTATGATTTCTTCCCTTTTTGACCGATTTGGCGTTGGAAATCCCGTTTGAGACACCAACAATTCAACGGCCTCCATCTGCAAAACCCCAAAACCTTCCAACGCCAATTGCACGTCGTTCGTCGCTCCGCCACCTAGGGTTTCAACGTTTTTGCAACGACTTTGCTTGATTCCAATGGCCAAAATCCAATCTTCCACTACACTTTCAACCTCTGATTTCTGCTTGAAAGCCCTCAAACCCCAGTACTTAATTACTCATTGTTCATCGGTCATGAATCGTTGCCCTCCACCCGTTGTGTCTTTTGGAATTTTAATTTTTTATTTCAAATGCAAAATGTTTGTTGACCATTCCGGCTACTTATAACAGACTTTTGACCATTTTGTCCTTCCCACAACGAAAATTAATAACAAAATTATGTTTTGGGCACTAAAGTGGTATTTTAAAAGTCAGAGGGTGCGAAAGTGTCATTAAGCTTTTGTTTGGGTGGTAAACAATCATTAACTTGTGAATTAATCTTTTATGGTGTCAAAGGACTAATAGTAGTTATTTTGAAAAAATAAGAACCAAAACTTCAGTATTTGCAACAATTGTCTTTAAATGTATACTGAAAACATAGGGACTAAAGAGAATTAATTCCATGAAATAAGGGTAAATGAGTAATTGTATTGTATATGCTACAAAGACAAAAGCAAAAAATAAGTAAACTAAAATACATTTGTTCAATCACACAACATGTGTAAAAAAAAAAAATAAAAAAAAATAACCCATCAATATGCCATTTCAAATAAGAGATTCACAAAGGCGCCACCTCCTTCTCCAATTCCTCTCTACAAACTTCCGTTAAACCTTGCTGACCCTGATTCACCTGTTGGTCTAATGGCATAGTGGAAGCATAGCAATGACCCTTCTCTTGTTACCTTCAAACGAGAAAAAGTGTCTGTTTGGTACCACGAATTGGTGAAAATTGGTGTTGCACTTCAGTGGAGCAAGGAGATGAGGTGTCAATACACACACGATATCTGCATTGTATGCAATCATTCCAGTGGCTCCACTACAAACTTTTGCTGACCCTAGGTGTATGCAATCCCTTCTCCAATTCCTCCTGCAAACTTTTGCTATGGCTTCCACTATGCCATTAAACCACATACAAAGAAAGTACAAACTCATCTCTTTGTTCACTGAAGTGCAACACCAATTTTCACCAATTTGTGGTACCAAACAGACACTTTTTCTCGTTTGAAGGAAACGAGAGAAGGGTCATTGCTATGGCTTCCACCATGCCATTAGAACAAACGGTGAATCAGGGCCAGCAAGGTTTGAGTGGTGACTCATTATTCGACAAATTTGAGGAAATTGTCACTATCAGCCAATTTTGCCTTTTGAGGTAACTGAGAACAATCCTTTCAAACTCCTTTAAATGGTCTTGTTGTTTTTTGGTCTTTTTGCCGATTCAAATAGATTTGGTTTCCCCACTAATCCATATAAAGTTGGCAAATGCTCTATTACTACCTGCTTG